GGGGGGGGGGGAGGGGGGAGATACTAGAGACGATAGGGATAAAGAGAAACAGATTATATAAAACTCCTGTCATAGAAGGGAGCAATGAAAAGACTGGAGAGCTCCAGGCCTTGACTGGATTAGCATAATGGTAGAGAACTGGATGTAAATTTTACAATAACATGTAACCCACCCGTCTTAACTAGCATAGACCTGTGTTTACTGACTGTATGATGGCATCAGTCTTTTTGTTGTGTGTTCTACTTAACGTTCAATGTGACAACTGAGTGCCCTCATACTTTCAGCCTTCCTTTCATAGACGTGGCTGGTAAAGAAACAAAAACAAAGAGGGAAGCTTGGGATGAGAAGCATAAGACTGAAGGAAATGAAACTTACAACCCAGCTTTCTTGTAATTGACTTTGGATATAAATTTTAGATGTGGCTTTTGGCTCCCAGCAGCACCATCTACTGTGTTGTTTTTGTCAGCAATTTCAGGAGTCTCTGTTGGTGGTGTTGCCATATTACCTGCCTTCTCTCCATGAGAAATGTTGGTCTATTGCTCCTTTTGAACACAGGAAAGCTAAGTAATCACCCGCAAGACTACAGTATGGCAATCTCATTTAAAAGGTAAAATAGAAAACAAAATTGATTGTGTTAAAATAGATGTTGGCCTTATTTAGTTAAGATTAGAGGCAAGTGTTTGCACAGGCAGGGTAGCTCCCCTCTCTGTTCAGCTGAGCTTACCATTCTGTTTAATCTGTTTGTTTTGACTAATCATAGTCTCTTTCAATCTGCCCTGTATCTGCCCGCACAACCCAGTGCTCACTTCACAAAGGCTTTGCTATCAGGCAGCGTTGCTATGGCTGTAGATAGGCATTCTGCTGACCCAGGCAAAGCACACCTGTGTACCTGTCTGTCATTTTGGGCTTGGGAAGTGGAGAAGGTGCAAGGGTGTTGTGTATGTGTTTGATGCTTCTGCTGTGACCTTTACTGTTCACAGAAATCGGACTGAATTAATTCCTGCCAATAGCATTTCGTGTAATGTTCCAGAGCACAGTGTTGTTTCTGGGCTGCCTGCTGATAATACTTCTCAGGCTGTCTTATCATGTGGCTTTGAGTAGACTACTTCTCAAAGTCAGCTCTTTTATTATACTGCTACTCTGTGTATGTAAGCCATCAGTGAGACCTGGTAATTGTGAGGTGAAGCTTACGCTTTCAGAGTTAAACTGTGGAGCAGCATATAGCCTGAACTCAGCAGCCTTTTGCTATTCTGGTATGTTCAACATTACCTGCAAAGCCAGGAAGCATCATATTGTTTCTGTTGCTTCCTTTTCATTTGTTTCTGTGAAACGCAGCTGTGCAACAGGGAAGTCAGATGGCAGTGATACTGGAATTTCTAGCATTTGGTTGCCTCTGAGTTTCCAGGGCATCTTAATGAGGCAGGGAGTTCAGAGTGTGCTGCTGCTTGTATCCCTCACTGAGTGAGTGTGTGCAAGTCTGCAGTTAGGAGTGATTTCAGAACATCTGAAATTCCAGGGGAAATAGGAAGTGAAATACCAAACTGATACTTAAAACTTGGGGTCGCTGATCATTTTTCTCTTAGTCCAAGGTCAGGTGTTTGATTGTAATGAAAGTTCAAGGATACTGAACAAGTTTCAGGACTGCTCCTCTGCTAATCTGTGCTGTGAACTTCACTGAAAGTTTGGTAATTGGTAATGTTCAATTGGTAATTGGACATGGGCATCTTCCAGGGATCAATGTAAGGTAGAGACTATTCTTCGTGTAGAATAGCAGAGAAAGTAAGTTAAGCTTGAGGATTTCTCATCATACTGTACCAATCTCCAGTCCCTAAAAGTCCTCAGTGAAAGAGGAGCATCTGAGCCAAAGCACTGTTTGAAAGAGACTTAAAAATAGTAGGCTCTATACCCATGGAATGTTACTGCTCCGAAGGAAAGGAGGACTGTCTGCTTCAGAGAGGCTGGCTTACACCTGTGGAAATGGCAGGCCAAATCAGGGCAGTACGTGAACTGTTTTTTTTATTAGATTGGTTTTGCAACCATCTGCCATCACGACTCGGAGATAAAGTGCGAGGCCAAAAGGTATGGCATCTTTAAGACATTACGTATGGCCACAGGATTTGTGAGCTGATTCAACTACCAATAGTTGAGATTATCCTGTTTTATTGGCTGTTCTTTACTCTTGAGTAGATTTTAGGTCTGTTGTTTCTATGTACTGGTCTGCACGGTGCTTTATTTACCTTTTGTACAAATGATTTGCAAAGGTAGCTGTAATTTTCTTTCCCTTACAAGCTTAAATGGGTTTTGCCTTACGGTCCCCAGTGGTTATCAAAACTAGGCCGTGTGCTGTTTCTTCCCTCTTTCCCCACATACACAAACTAAAATACAGGAAATGGGAGAGAAATTATATTACAAATGAGTGCATTCACGTTAAAATCAGTAATGAGAGAAGTAAGGAAAGTATTTTTTGTCAACAATAGTTGAACATTATTTTTGTTAGAGTATGGATCCCTTGAGTTTCTGAAATTTGTGGCTTAAGAACAATTTAATCAGGTTGTTCTAGTGTGAGGTAGGATGTATACAGAGATAATATCTTCTATTTGGCTGATGCAGTTGCAGAAATTAGATAGGCTTTTAATTCACGTCTTTCTGTAAGTAAGCTGTTACAAAATCCTTTTTAGTAATTAACAAACTTTTTCTTAGAAGGGAAGTTAATTCAGTAGAAGCCTCTTCAGGTTTTCTTTGTTATATTTTTACTTTCCCTTTAAATTACATTTGTGTTCCCTTCTGGTTATCTTTGAAGTTAAAACTTTGTACATGAAATGCTAACATAGGAGTAAAGGGCTGCCAGAGGTGGTCTGGACATTCATAGTGTTAGTGAAGGTAAGGTGTACTGTGTTAACATTCGTGTTTTTTCAATATATTTATAGAAAAATTGCAGCTGATTTAATAGAATTGTCTTAAATTCTTAAGTTGGAACCAGACCAAAGTATATTGAGAGTGTTCAGCAGTAAAGTTTGCTTTATGAATTACTGTTTTGTACATTTAATACAGTGGGATTGATCTCCAAAGGTATTACTAACAGTCTTAGACTATTATTACTCAAAATGCTTAATAAAGTGCATAGTTTTAATATGATCTGTTGCTTCTGATAATGTGTGAAATGAAAGGTGGTGTATTGACATCTTAATTTTTAAATGATAACTGATTGACCCTACTGAAATTGAGCAGCATTGTAATAAAACATTATACAGACTCACGTTTGCCTGTCATAAATGTAGACATTAGGTTCTGCTGAAACCTGGAGCTGATGATATTTCTAAATCTCATTTTAGACAATAAAAACTTGCTTTGAACTATTGTAGCCATGAATTTTGCAAATACCACTTCAATTTGGGTAAATCTTTGGACGTGTCATAGTGGAATATAATTGTTTAGTAATAAAATGGATTATTTTGTAAACTCACAGTACCAGAAACTCTAAGTGAAGTATACAGATCTGAATTTATTGAGCTAGGCTTAGTTATTCTCTGAGAGTCGGTTCGGTAAGCAGGTCTGTAATGATTTTGTGCATACGGTGCCAGGTCGTTATTTCAGGAACTGTTGCTTATCAGAACTGCCTCCTGCCTTTTCTCAAAATGACAAAGCTAAATTGTATACTGGCTCTAGGCAGTCAGGGAAAAATCCCTTTTGCTTTAATGATGGATTAAATGTTTCTCCGTATTTCATTATGAAATGAAAATGAAATAATGTTACTGTGCAGATAGAAGAAGCACGCTTTAGTAAATATGTTTCTTGCATGTTTGTATGTGTGGGGATATAATAACTGCCTTTTTTTTTTCTTCTTCATTTATTTAAAGGGGGGGGGGAATGGAACAGTGACAACACTTACAGTGTCAGTAAGTGTTAATGTAATTACTGGTCTATTATTCCTGAGAAAACCTTGCTAGACCTGTGTGCTTAATGGTATGTGATAGGCTGTTTCCTTAGTAACACTTCCTGAAAGAAAGCAAGGCAAAGACTGTAAATGAGAGGACAGGAAAGGAAGTGTGTAAAGATGCCTTATCAAAGCTTTTTAAATCAAAGGAGAGCTATCAAATATTGGCAACAAATTTGCTGGGAAAATGGAACTAGAGAAGATGAATTCTTGGGTCAGGGAGGTGTGTTACTGCATTTGGTGGGACGAACTTATTCTGTGAGGTGACCGTGTTACGAAAGGTAATTGGGGATCTAGGAAGAATGGAATTGTGGAATTAAAAATGATCAGTACAGAGTCACTGAGTACGGCTGGGAGGCATTCTGCTGAGCCTGTCCTCATTGCCAGGTCTCAACCTTAGAATTCGGTGTAACTAAGAAAACTCTCTGCAAGTAAAATACTTATTTCCTCATCATATTGAAGGGGGGGGGGGGGGGGGAAAAAAAAAAAAAAACAACTGCAGGCAAAGAGAACATGCATTAAAACCCAAGGATTCCAGGAATATGGTTCTTACAAAATGCCCTGCATTGGTTGACATAATTTGTAGTATCCTGAAAAAATCAGATATTCCTGAAATTGGACTGAATGTCGATGAGTAATTGGGGATATCCCACGATTACTCAGACTTTCCAGATGGGTTTCAGGGAGGAGCCACGTCATTCGTGACTGGGCTTTCCCACGACACTCTTGTTTTTCTTGTACTTCCCACACAGTCTCCTATTTTTATGTGAACAAATGGTTACTCCCTGGGAGCTCAAAGGCGCTGGTCCAGGTGGGTTGGCACACTAGTTAGGTTGAATGTCAGGTTTTTATTTCACTTTATTACTTGACATAAATAATTGGGCAGAAGGGTGTAGCTAGGGAAATGGGAAGCTCTGGTTTTCTTAGCAAAGCTTTAAATTTCATTGCCAGAACTCTGTTCTTCCATTAGTGATACGGATAGTCATTGGTACTCCAAGGGCTTTTTTGGTTAGCTTTTTTGTCTTGTTGTATGACAACTCTGAGAGGGAATGTTTTTCAAATTGTTTCCTTAAAATAATCTGCTAGAATGAAAATTGTTTTCAGTTCAGAGTTTCAGTGACTTCTTAGTTTCTTAAGCACTACAGAGAGGTGTCAGGGTAGGAGCCAGTGCTGAGCAGCACCAGGTGAAATTGTGTTGACACAGGAGAGAAGCGTAGATGGAAGGTATCTCACAGCAGTTATGTTTTAAAGGAAGATTTTGCATATATGGAAAGTTGTAGCTAGGGCAGAATAGGAGTTGGTATGAAGTTACCTGCTGCTGGGCAGGCTTCTCTCTCTGGCTGTTCTCAGCTCAGCAGGAAATGTTTATTTTCAATACTGAGTAGGGGACATTTCCTGCAGCTTTATTACTAAGGGGGGGGGAAAGCCCCAAACCAAACAACAAAAAAAAACACCTTCCCAGTGCACATACGGGGCAGTGCTACACATGAGAGGAATATTCACATAGATTGTGCCTCACTTCCTATGATGCTGGAAACTGAGGTGCAGCAGTGGTGTATTTGATGCTGAGGTAGTGGAAATAAATATAGTTTTATTCTGCTCAAGAAGCTGCATTACGTGAAATCTGCTGTTTTAGTAGATGTTATCAGGGATTAAATGAGGCTAAAGGAAAA